TGAACTTCTTTCGCACCGTACGTAGCCAACCGTGCTAATCAGAGGTGCAGGGTAAGTGCAACAAACTCAATGGAGAGGTGGCTGAATATTCATATATAACGGACCACATCACTACCTCATGTGCCATTGCAACCTGAATAGGAGATTGTTTTGCAATCTCTCATGGTAGCGTGATTTCAAAACATTTGAGGGCCTATTTGATGTTTTTTTGTTGCCTTTATATTTGAATAATTCAATGCAATCCATTCATCAGAGACCACTTTTAGCCACCACGTCTCGGAGACCGTGTCTCAGAGACTGATTTAATTAATTGTCCTCTAATTCAAACTTTTTGACAGCTCCACGTCGATACGTAAATATGTCGTGTACAAAATTATTGCTGCTGTTGCTGCAGTGATTGTCTGCATATATAATTTTGTTTTATTGAAAATCCTTCTTAACTACGCATGTAGTAAGATAACATCGGTGTCATTTAAAGATATACAACAATAGTGCCATGATGCAAGATTAAAGATATGCGAGACAAGGTCACGGGCACGGAACGATTGTATGACGCTGTAGGGCCTGCCTTCAACATAAATAAATCAGGTTTCACGCTCAAGTGTGATTTACACATGACCATTTGTCAAAATGTATTGTAAATGTTAGCAATATCTGTATCTGAAGTCTGTGCCGTCTCAATTTTTGTGCTTTTAGATGCTGTCAGGACGAGATTACATTTTCACAATTCATTGTGTGGATCGCTACATCTCGGGCTTTCTTCATGCAAAATCCTATCGAACTTAATAATTTAGACTTCTGGAGGAAAAATAAAATCCCACAGGATACCAGACAGTACCTTAACTTGAATATTACATTTTTTTTATGGGATTATATGGAATCTTCCAGCTTCTCTTGAATAATCTTCGTAAAATACACCCATCAAATGGCGATTATGAGTGAAGATGCCCCTCCTGTCTTTCTCCTTAGTCGTTCTCTCCCCAGTTACTTCTCAATTATTTTCCTCCTTTACTTTCACGGCACTTGCGATGCATTGTTTAAGGGCGTCTCATGAATCCAAATGATTATTGTTACATTTTAGATTAATATATTTGTTTAATTTAAGACGAAACATTATCATCACTACTCGCTTAAATATTTTGAAATATTGGCTACGAAGACATACAGATAGGCATGCGTAATTATTGTTTGAACAATTGCAATGCAGAGGTGAAGTTTTGCATATGCACAGGGTGAATTATGCTTTCATTAGCCCAGTGCAACTTGCTTTTTTTTTCCCCGGTAGCTAATTCTCAAGAAATATTGACCGCCCCATGTGATGCCATAATTAATTTATTGAATCTCTTCTTCGACAATATTTCATAAATACTGGGGCGGGGGGTTCCCCGTGTAACGAACGTGAATACTGCAAAACTCAATCTGATAAAAGTAGCCTGCATTATTCTCCACGCACTAAAATTGACGTTAAATTGCATGTAAAAAAAATGCTATTTGTAAATGACGGGTGTAGCTCCCAACAAAATGGACAAAACGACACATTCTCCCTGCGCCTGCCTCTTGTCTTTTTTTCCCAAAGCAATCGCCTGCCTGTGAAGTGTCTTCCTTGGTCATGAATTTACAGAATCACTGTCACAATGGGAAGAACAAAGTTCGTTCGTTCGTTTCTCAGGCCGCTTGTCCTGGTGAGGGTCGCGGCGGCAGCGTGTTGAGTGGTGGCGGTCCACACCTCCCACTCACTGGCGACAGACTCCAGCACTACTACGCCATACACTACTATACACTATATACTACTACATTATACACTACTATACACTACTACACTATACATGACTATACACTACTATACACTACTATAGACTACTATACACTACTACACTATACATTACTATACACTACTATACACTGCACTACTATACACAGACTCTAGCTCTTCCTGGGTAATTTCCAGGCGTTCCAAAGCCAGTCGAGCGACATCGTCCCACCATCATGTCCTGGGCCAGCCCCGGGGTCTTCGTCCCAGTGGGACGTGCTGCTGCTGCTGCCCGGTAGAGTTCCAGAGAGAGTCTACCGGGGGTGCATCCCTACCGGGTGCCCGAACCACCTCAACTAATAAATAATATTTGGATGCAAAGTTTCTTGTAACAAAGTGACTGTCACATTTCCAGTTTTGCGATATTTTTCAAGGATGGATTTTATTCACTAAATCAGGTGAATATAGCGGCCTCTGGTGGCTGATAGAGTCCCTTAAAGGCATTACATGCAACGTAAATGCAGTGAAAAATGTTGACTGCTGAACACTTGATTAAATGCATGTATTACTCATTGGTTTTTTCGGTAAAGTCACGTATGTAGAAATACCATAAAATTATATTAAAATGAAATAAATCAATCACAACGTTTCGACCGCAACACAAGCGATCTTCATCAGGTGTAAAAAAACAAATAGCGAGGGAGCACATAGGGTGACATTAACGCAACAAATAGAGAGCGTTAAACTGCACGGAGGTAAATACAACAACAAGATGAGAGACGATAATTCAACAAACCTAAACAAAATTTAAGTGATGCAAAACCAGTCGGCCAACGACACAGTTATACACTTGCCTGGCAGACCACGAATTTCAGAAGAGTGCTAAATTTCGTGTTCATCCTCTGGGTTGAACATACCAGCATAGACAGTGAACAAATACGAGGTATAAGATAGCAGAAATCCATATAAAGGAACACAAGAGGTAAGAAGAGGAAGGACGGAGAGAGAAGAGGTGGTATTTCTACATACGTGACTTTACCTAAACAACCAATGAGTAAATTTATGCAGTCACGAAAGCTTTAATTCTTTATTAAATGCATGTAATTTAATTACTTTAGCACCTATGTTACTCGATGAATCCTCTCATCTACCCTTAGAGTATGTTCCAGCAGTTGCTTCTCCTGTCTGTCTACACGTCCATTCATCTGGACAGTAGACCATTAGACAACAAAAATAATCAGTGATACTGCATTGGCAGTGTGTACAAACACACACACACACACCAAAAAACTCAACACATATGTCAAGAATTCTTCCCCAAAGAGGAAAAATTATCTACCCATCTCATCGGCCATGTTTCTGGCAAGAGCCCCTACATAATATAGGCCAATTGTCCATTCGTATAATTTAGCCCATTTAGTTGCCCTTTCCAGGAACTAATCAGTCGTTTGTCTTGAACTCACAAACAATATATTCTGCCTGTATATGACCGAGTGTTTTTCAAAAGCAATCAACGGCATCTGCCGTGGACATTTTCTTGAACGCCGGATGTCTGCAAAGTGTCTTGGGACGCTCTCCATTGAGATCCTTGCTTGGTTTTCTGCTCTAATCCTGCACACTTATTTTGTCAATCTCTGATCATCAAGGAGGAGAACAGACTGCCATCACAAGTGGTCTTAATTGCTCGTCTTCTGTTTAATCACCGTAAATTCACACCTGTGCACTCTGTCAGAGAACTGTCATCTCTGCATCTTCGTCGTGCATTCCCAGACGGAAGCGCATTAAACCAACCTCGGACAATGCCACGACTCATTTCATTCACGAGGGGAGAAATAAAACGTTTGAGATAAAATGCGAATGTAGTGGAATACTTAAAAGCATTAAAAAAATTCGAAAGCAATAATCAAAATATTTTTTTTTTTTTATTATATTAACACAGTGGATGGTATAATACGAATTATATTACGTCAGCTCGTGATATTATATATCCTAAGCAAAAAGACACTCACAACATTTACAACGCACAGCACTGCCATCACCTGTCCACACCTCAATGAAGTCTCAGCCCCTCCCGGTAGATTAGTTTGGTCAGGCAAGTAAATGCTGGCACAAACATTTCGTGCGATTAAGTGACCGGGTGTCGCAGCCTTTCCTCCTATACGCAGGGGACGAGATCTTGAAGGGAACACACGATGGACAAATAATTCAGGTCGCCTCGCTACCCATTCTGTTGAGCGTTTAACATTTGATTAGAGTTTGTTTGTTATTGACTTTATATGCCCCCTTCTCCGCCGCCCCCAATGAGTTTCTGTATGCCCCAACCCCCCTTTTAAACACAGTTACAAGACAAGATCGCTTAACAGCCCCATGCCTACAACACCTAGCAAGCACTCTGCTTTAGCTCTCATACGAGACAAGTATTGACCAGGCTGGAAACTCTGCTCAGCTTCTGAGATACGACCGGGTGCATTGTTAGTATTGTTTCTCATGACGCTTGTTCACCCGGGGAAAGTCTCACGGAGTCTCAAGAATATTCATTTTTTTCAGGGTGGGTCCTTGCCTCATAGGCGCACAGTGATGGCATCAGCTTTACTCTATTTAAGACCGAAGCAGGAAGGCTTCTTCACAATTATGGCAAAAATCGCCCGATGAAACATGTTTGAAATCGCCAGCCAAAAGTCACGGTACTCAATTTGTCAACGTTGTGGGTTTGACCTCCGACGGACACACGTGTGTGCTGAAGTAGTAACGAATTTGCACGTTTTGATTACGTGCCAAACCTTACTAATTGGCTGTGTCAGGTGGTGGCGGGTTAATGACACATTTATATTTACGCGATCTAATCCAACAAAAAAAACATGATTACGGGAAATATTGGTCGTGAAACGCTGCTGCATGTTAAACCGCCCTGCCAAGTTTTTACAGTAGGGGGGGAAGTTGCTTTGCGTAATCCCAATTAAGTAATTCTCAAGAAATGTTTGCGGCATAGAGATGCTTGACCAATACCAGTTAAATCTGTATGTGGCTATGTAACTAAACCAGAAAACATGGAGCAAACCCCCAACGGACCAGGTGAAGAAAAGTGGGAGAACAGGGTTAGAACCTACAAATACCACGCAGAAAAGTGCCCGAGTCAGGAATCGAATCCTGGTCCTTCTGGCCGCGAGGCCCAAGTGTTCCCACTGTGCTACCTTGCTGTACTGCCAGGATGATTTGTGACGTTAAGTTTCTTTATCTGTGTTTGTTGCAGACACCTCAACAATGAACACGCTCTTGATGATCGGAGCACGGCGCAATGCAGAGTGCAGATGCAGGTGGTACATCAGCTCGAGATTCAGGTGAGTGCGTGTACAAGTACAGGCACTGACTAAACCCACTTCCGGATGGCGACTTCTCCTACACGCAAAAATCTGAATCTTTATTGAGACTGCAGGAGGAGGAATCCGATGAGCTATACAGCTCTTTTGTCACATGTCCAGTAGGGGCGGTTCAGAGCGGTACAACAGCATACAGTGCAGAGTATAGGAAAGGTAAGCAAAACACTTTCACAAATTTTAACGAAAACTTAACTATTATTATCTTATATTCTTGGTTCTTTCGGTAAAGTCACGTTGAAGGGAAACAACAAAAATAATAAAATTCAACGTGACTTTACCGAAAGAACCAAGAATATGAATCACTGCAGTCACGAAAGCTTTAAATAAAAATTTATTATTATCTTACCAGGTGAAGCCCACGAAATTATTTGCTTTTTCAAAAGTTACCTGGCCACAAAGGATAGCTCAACGAAGTGGCTTTTCACGTGGACGTTTCTAGCAGCAAAATAATCTAAATAATCAATAGCATCCTGTTTGTGCACGGTGGTCAAACCTGCTGAGCTGCTCAAATAGAATGAGATCAGTGGCATTCTGGGCCATTTGCTCACCGGGCTCGCTTTGAGCGAGCGACAGAGGTGCATCCCTGAAATGGGCCTGCTCATGGCGCTGATGGCAGGAGGGTTTCCTCGAGATGGGGGCTCGAGAGATCCCCTCAAGAGGCTCTCTTGGACTACCGTCTCATGCTCGCCAGGCATCTTGGAAGGGGTGGAAGTTCCCACGCTTTACCTCGCCGTGCGCAGCCTGGCAATGGCGCGCCGGCTGTGGTGCATCCCATTTATGCTTCTGAATATAATAACAACGTTTCGTCATAATGTAAACACGCTGCTATATCGAGGCGTTTCCTGACCCTGTCGGTTATTTGTGTTTGTTTGACCATACTTTGCCAAGCCGTGTGAGTACGGGTTGGGGGAAAGCGGTGGTTGTCATTCGCCATGGCTGGGAACCGAACTCGGGAAACTGGGTTCATAGCGCAGTGAGCGAACCTGATTACATAGAAGCACAACATATGGAGCTAAGAGTGAGTGGTAAGAAACTTGCCAAACATTTCTAAGACTCGTGACTGGGAATAAAACCCACAGCCTGTCCAGTTCACTCGACTCGACATCACAGTGGCTTACATCTGCAGAATAAGCCCATCAATAATTCTTTCATCCTCCGTCTTATTTCCGAATGACAAAGCATTAGCCTCAGTTTATCCTGTGATTGTGATAATATTTCAAACTCGAGGCTGTTTATCAAGATGTCTTTCTTCGGTTCAATGCAACGATATTTTTAGAAACAGCAATAGCTTGCCACACCACCCATGGCCTGCGATGTTATGCATTGCCCTACCCTCGCAAAACAGAGACGTAAATGGACATTCCACTGCAAACAGCATGTGTGTTTACCAATGTGGAGTCACATGCGATTCTTTCACTGCATATAGGATTCCCATAATAATACGTAACATCTGAAGGTTCTGGTTATTTCACATACTTAGATTTCTGCTCGGATGTCTTTTATAAGGCCTCGTTTCAATTTTTATCAGCCGTATATTATTATGGTGATAATATTTCAAACTCGACAATTTTTTTTTTCTTTACAAAAGTGGAATGTGTTTAATTGAGAAATGGGCAGCCCTCGAGATAACATGTTTTTTTTTTCTTTAAAAAAAATAACAAAAAAATTGCACGGCCAACTCTTTTCTTTTTTATTTCACACCCAGCGATTGACTTTGTCTAATGAAACATTGTCATTGTATCTGAATGGCACTGTGCCCCCACTCAAAGAATCCAAAAAAGTTTGGAGTCGTTTGCATGTTAATGATGCATAAAAGCATTCCACGCTTCACTTTAAATACATCCTTTGTCGGGCAGTTGATATTTCTGAGCGCGCCTTGTGATGTTTCGTGATGGAAAAGGCGTCCAAACCCTCCAAGTAAGGAGACAAGCCAATGGTCGTGTCTGATTGCTCTGAAATACGTTTTTTTATTATTATTATCCCGGAGGGCATTCACCGTGATCTTGAAAGCCGAGTTTTGTGGAATCTTCTGACATTGGGTTTTATTATGTGCATACTTTTTTTTTAATAATGGCAAAAAATAATAGAAAAGAATATATATGACATGGGGCAGAATTATGCCTTGTGTTTAGTCCAGCGGTGAGCACGCGTCTGACTTGAGCAAAAGCCTGAGATTTGCGCATGAGCGACTGGCTTCCTGCGAATGCTGCCATTCAGTGATGACGGGGTGGCACACGGGGGATTTCGATGCAGAGGTTGTCGGTTCGATTTGATCTCCCGCCGCGGCAGATGAGAAGCATCCGCGCAGGTTTCTGAAATCCACCCCCTCCCCCCGCCCCACCTTCCAGCTGCCCACCTCCTCTATCCACCCACCTCCTCTATCCACCCAGCAGCAGTACACATGGGTTCAGCGCACAGTCAATGGACAGGCCGCATGTTGGTAGGGTAAAGTGTGGGTAATCACAACTCTCCCAAGACGCCGGGTCAGCTTGGAAGAGTAGGCCAAATACCATCAAGGAAATTGCAGGACTGGCACATGCAAATAACACAAAACTAGCTTTCCAAAATGCTTCGCTGCAGACTCTCGCAGTCAGAACACTCGCGACCGAATACTTTTTTTTTTTACAAAAGGCCGATGATTCTAGATTTGACGACCGCTTGTGTTGCGATCGAAACGTCGTGATTTAATTAATTTTTATCTTTTTAAACTTTTATTTTATTTACCTACGTGACTTTACTGAAATAACCAGGGTATAAAAAAGGCCGATGGTTTGATTCCCATGCCTGGTTTTGGTTTGGGCATAACAATGCATCATCTATTCATTGGCTGACATAGATTACTATACTCACAACGCACGCTACAAAACACACGTGCCTGCAATGTTAATGGAATGTGTTCGTGTGAACTCCTCCAGTTACTAGATGCCACTACATTCACCAAAATGTGATAGTGTATATTTAAATATTCTTGAATCGAATCGCGACCCTTGATAATGACAAATCACCGAATCGTGACCGGAGTGAATGTTACATCCCTACTGTTTGATAACGCAGCAGTGCATTACGAAAATGGATGTTACAGATCTTGAGAAACCATTCACAAGTGTAGGTTATTGAGTGCCATAGACTAAATCCCACATTTTAAATATACCCCCAAGTAAAATATGACAAAGCATCACACTATCCACCCATTATCCTCCCTTTTGTAGAATTTATTATAGGTTCATGTTAAATAAAAAAAACATCATCCTTGTGATTAGCTGTACATCCCACGAATGCAGAATAATCATTATGCCACTGCGTATGTTCGCACGCATGTGCCATGTAACAGCTCTCTGATGCGTTTCTGGGTTGTACCGCGTGGCATTCAGCATGATTTCCGACGTTTCAGTTCCTGAAGAAGCTCCCCAGAACGTCGGGCAAAAACGTCGGACCTGACGCCAAGCAAACTAAAAACTGAACCCTTTTTTTGCGAAACTTTGTATTTGTGGCAGGGAAGGCTCACCAAGCTATATAGCTCTTTTTCAGAAGTGGCCTGGCCACAAATCATACTTCAACGACGTGGCTTATCACGTGGGCATATATAGCAGCCATATACTCGTAAACGCAAGTTGATTCTAAATGTGGAGGGAAAAATCGGAGGACCCATAAAAAAAATCCACGCGACCAGGGGGAGAGACACGCAAACTCCAAATATACACAACAGGCGTCAGGGTCAGGATCGAACCCACGACTGCCTGTATACCAGGCAAGGTAGTTAACATATCGCCACCGTGACACGCAACACGACTCGGGAGTACGTGGAAGAACCACACAGTCAAGCGAATTTACGCCAAATTGCAATGTAGCAGAGTCTAACAGCCCACGTCATTTGACCAACCTGATGGGGTAATTACAGGCGCAGTTAAATGAGAACAAACACTACCTTTATCTTTCAGCCAACCATCCAATGCCCACACCACTGAGTCCATAATTGGATTGACAGTGGATTTTTTTTTTCAAACAAGATGTATAAATAAGTAATAGCTTTCCATAAGTAACTGTTTGCTAAAATATTTAATGGGTCATCCTTGTGATGCCTCAAAATGCCATCTCTGTGGAATGACGTGAGTTTCAGTGCTATATTAACACATGCAACTACTTAGCCTTTTAAAGCTTGTCATGTGTTTTTGGGTTTTTATTTGGAGCATCCAGAGTGGCTCCAGAGAGCCAGTCTGGTGGGTATATTGGCCTGCTCATTACTTGCTGGCCAGACATCTTGGCGGAAGTTCGAGTACCCACACTTTATCCCACCACACGCGACCTTCTGATCCTTTAACAGTGGTGAATCTACTTATAATGTTGAGGGGGTCGGTGGGGGGGATAGGGGCATTCTCTAATAATATTGCCCATTGTTTTAACTGTCATGCCAGGAGACCTTTTAGATTCCAACTCCAGTCCGCTAACCATTGCAGCCGCCGCACGAGTATCAACACTCGCATATGTGCAGCGTTTAGTCAAGTTCAAGTAATTATATTACTCTTAAAAATACAAATTTTGAAGACAATCTTTAGGCCATGTACCATCTTGATTAGCGTGTGAGCATTGTTATGACGTTCCGCGTGGGCGTAAGTGTGTGGCGCCTTTTATGCATGGCTCCGTGCGCTCACGTCTTCACCGCGGTTCATATCCCTAACCAAAACGGAGGCTCTTTTTTATTTAATACGAGCTTTACTACCCGGCTTCGCCCGAGTCTTGGATTCTTTCTTTGGATTAATACACGGCCTACATGGAGGGTGGGGGGGGGGGGGGTGCGTGATGTCAGTAGGCATCACTGCGTGACACTGCCGCATGCGGGTGACATCACAGATGTGACGTCACCCCAAAATACAAAAGTATATTTTTATACTTTTTTCCATTGTGTACAGTCTGGAAGCTACCCACATGCTCAATTTAAAGTTTGTTGCATGTTGGGAAGTATGCTAAACATTTTGAACAGACACACATATTCACAAATTTCCCTTTTATATTTAATATACCGGCCCAGCCAGTTTGTTTGTTGTCAATAATGTCTCCCCATTTCTTGTTTATTACAGCTTGACAAGGAACGGGAACGGCTACAAGCCATGATGGCTCATTTGCACATGTGTCCAGCGGAGCCCAAACATCCACTCCAACCCGTAAGTAACTCTCGTGCGTCTCTCCACGATATGTTAACTCCCTCGCCTGGTATACAGGAGGTCGTGGGTTCGATCCCGACCCTTGACGACTGTAAAATATTTGGAGTTTTGCGTATCTCTCCCTTTCCGTGGTCACATGGATTTATCTTCAGGTCCTCTGGTTTTTCCCTCCACATTTAGAATCAATATGCGAATCTTGACTTAAAAGCTTTCATGACTGCAGGAATTCATACTCTTTGGGTCTTTTGATAAAGTCACGTAGAATTTTTTTTTTATTATGTTTCTATCTACGTGACTTTCCCGAAAGACCCAAAGAGTAATCAACATGCATTTAGAGTTTTTGGGTGCTATAAATTTCCACGTGATGAGCCACTTCGTTGAGCAATCATTTGTGGTCAGGTCGCTTCTGAAAAAGAGCTATATAGCTCAATGGGCCTTACCTGGTTTAAATAAAAAAAAAATGTTGAAATAGAGACACAAGGTATTTTCAGAAAAGTTTACGAGCCTGGTCCATTCACGACAAAGCAAAGAGGCGTCCCACGTGGTATCTGTGTAATTGGCAGCTGCACCTCCCGTCGACAAAAAATCGAGCGCAAGTTCAACGTATAACTGAGGAGCAATCAGCGTTTGAGAATCTATGCGACGCGGAGGCGTGGTTTAACGTTCGTCTTTTGACCAAGCAAAAAGAATGTGGATGAATTATTGAATGTGCTTTTATTTGATTGACCGTCCCTGTGATAACAGTTACATTATTGAAAGAAACCGGGTTAACATTTAACGGGGAAGATGATCAGTTAAATAACCATCACATGTAACCTCAAAAGCCGGCAAAAGCAGTGGAGAGAGAGAGAGAGTGAGAGGGGGATACATTGTAATCGATAACTATTTTCTCGGTTGGCTATATATTATTTTCAAATTGGAGTTTTTCAAATTGGAATTTCTCTCTGTATTTTGGTATCTTTCTGTCTGTCTGTCCTTCAGTGGGTCTCTCATTCGATTTCTCACCGTCTCATTTTCTCTCTCTCTCTCTTCACTCGTGACTTTGGCTCAGAATAACTTTGTGCGGTACACGAAGAAAGGCAAAAACTGTTTTACACACTAAATAGGCTTTTTATTAGTTTAGTGTTATTTTGACATTACTGACACAGCCTTGAATCATATAAAGTTTAAATAGCCGAGATTTAACTTTGTAGAAAAATCATTGCGTGGCACATATGGATATTACATTATAGCAGCTGTCAGGCTTTTAAACTTTCTAGCGTCTAAATTTCAAGGTTCCCACATTTGGCCATTTTCATGAATTTTTAATTTTGGTCAAAAGTATCACGTTAGTTAGTGGTTATCGCTTTGCGAATGTGATTTATTTTCCTTTCTCATTTTGCACAGCCACAGTCACTTAACATTATTGCTCGTAGCATCCTTTAAGCGTTTATTGAAACACTGATTCAAGTTTTACTCTCGTATAAAGCTCACATCGGGATCTAGTAAATTAGGCACATAACTCCAGTCGTATAGATGCTTTCAAGTGCACGGGATCTCAGGCTCTATATATATATTACTGCCTTTCTTGTGCACCTGATTGGCAAAGGCTGTTTTCAATCGGGAGTTTTAGTAGGGGGCACGTGGCCAGCAAAATTTGAATGTAATTGATGAGATGGTGCTGATTTATGTTCTCATATGCAAAGGCTCCAAGCCGAGACGGCACCTGCATTTGATGAATATTGATAGAAGGAATTTATTACCAAGGTGAAATGAGCTCTGAAGATTCATCGCAGCGCTCAGAGCAGCTATCAGTATATGAGCATGCTACGTAGCTCCACCAGGCGATTACATTATGTCGTTAACTCGGGCTTTGGTTTTAGCATTAAACAGTGGCTTGTGGTCACGCCGTGCCCAGAAAGGAATTGTTATTAGACCTCTGCATCTGCAGTATAATGATGAGCTAGATGTCTGAATTTCCGGGGGTTAACACAGTACATGATTGAGTGTGCGTGTGTGGCGTGAGTGTGCGTGCACTCCAATGTGGTGGCTGTCGTCCAAGGTTTGATTCCTGCCTACGCATATCAGCGGCGGCGACTGGTACTAGGAATCGCCTTGATTTACCGTGCGCTGTGTTACCATGAGCTCCGTGTGGACGTACGGCCATATACGGTCCACCCCGGCTCATGTGCTGTGCCAGCCTTGGTATGCAATGGAAAGCCACAATATTCAGTAAGTTGAAACGGGGATACTTGTATATATTAATGATGTTTGCTTAGGTTTCCTAAAGATGAATACGACAGCCCAACGTAAGCTCTAATGTTAGAGCTTACATTGGGCTGTGTATACGATATTATACAATGTAGTTTAGATTGGAAGGTATAATATTGTAATGTATAGTAGTGTAGTTTATAGCATAGTTGTAACGCAACACAGGACAGAGCAGCGCATCGTAGCTGTTTCTGTCTCTCTACCCCCCTCCTCCGTTCCGAGCATAGATGGACTCGTCCGTCTGAACAAAGCTCGCCACTTTCCGTGGTGCTAACGTTGAGAAAAAATAAAAAATAAACCGCCACTTTTTTCGACATAGAATTGTAATGTATAATGACTTATTGTTAGTAGCTCAGCTGATTGGAGAGTATATTGAGTTTATTGATAATATTGATGTAGTTTATATTTTAGTTTTTATAAGTTTACTATATGGTATTTATTATATAGTGTAGTGTATACCCAGTTACTTTATGTTAATAGCTCAGCTTATTGGAGAATATATTGAGTTCATTTATTATATTGATGTAGTTTATATTTAGTTATTTCACATCGGTTTATTGTATGATAGTTGGGTAGTTGCAGTTCTTTAGCGTCAATATACTAAATGCCTCTGTTGATATATAAACTCTGATTTTAACATAGCTACTTCCGTGACCAGTTACATGCTAATCCGTCACACTAACATCATACTAATCTCCCAGTTACATGCTAATTTCTGACTTTAACATCCTGCTAGTCTCTCACATTAACACAGCTACTTCAATGCTAAATTCTTCTGTTTGATATGTAAACTCCTTTGTCAAGGCGCTCTGCTCCTATCACCCAGCTTAAAAGACGCTGCCAAGCTTAGCAGTGTTCATTGGAACGCTGTCGTCCCGACAGTTGTGTTCCTTCACCTGAGGAAGGCTACTTGTGTTGTGGCCGAAACGTCGTGATAATTTTATTTTATTATGTTTTTTATTTTTATAATTTTATAATTTTCTCTTCTACGTGACTTTACCGAAAGAACCAAGAAGATGAATATGACAGTTGTTGAAAGGGGATTAATTAACATGTTCAAAATGTGTTATTTAGTATATATACTTGGATGATGTATATTACCGGTAGGAAATACCAGTATCAAAAATAAAATAACAGAACGTATCCCATAAAGAGTGCCAAGTATCTTACCGTTATTCTTGGTTCTTTCGGTAAAGTCACGTAGAAGGGAAACAATAAAATAATACAATTATAAAATAATACAATTCTCACGACGTTTCGACTGCAACACAAGCAATCATCATCAGGTGCAGTCGAAACGTCGTGAGAATTTTATTGTATTATATTTTTATTATTTTATTGTTTACCTTCTACGTGACTTTACCGAAAGAACCAAGAATATGAATCCTTGCAGTCACGAAAGCTTTAAATCAAAAATTTATCTTACTGTTGTTTGCATTTGCCAAACAAAAGAGTGTAAACAATTTGCGCTGTGACCAGCGATACACAAAACTACGCCTGTGCATAGTTTTAATATATTTAATATAACCAGATATGAACACATTTGAGACGAAGGCATGTCTTTCACAATGGGCTATCTTACATAATGCGTGCAAAAGGGTTCCAGAGTGCAAACAACTCAAAATTTCTGAATGCAACAACAACAATTTTATTTTTAAATGGGTCAAGTCTCCCTGCGTAGACTCGGCGGCTCTTGACTGCCGAAGCTGGCGGGCGGCGTGTCAGCTGCGCTGTCGTTGAGCGATCTAGGAATCACTTTAAAACATCATCCCTCCAATTATACCACAGCTTGACGCTGGCCTATTGTAATAATTAGCTGTGACAGCCCACTTCCCCGGCTGCCTGTTGTGTGTGCCCGAAGCAAAAAAAAAAAAATCGCATAGAGGCGTACAATTGTCGTTGAAAAATGAAAAATAAGTAAGTAAAAAAAATAAATATTCGACCGCTTTCATTTCACCGATCTTCGATGTTTGATTTTTATTTACATTTTTTTGTAATTGTTGACGTGCATTGTGCACAATACAGCAGCTCGTAATTTTTGGCTCTTTTGCTGTCAGTGGGAAGAATAATAAGAAAAAAACCCATTAAAACGTTTTACTTACTATTAATGTTACATGAAGAATGACACATATTTGCTCTTGACCTGAAGGTAATAGCGCACATTAACCTGCGTTTGTTTACGAGATCGATAGAGAAAACACGTTGAAGGAAACCCTGCCTCTGGGAACAGGGGGAGAGGGTATTTATTCAGTTATAGTTGAGTGGAAATCAATTACTTTTGGCATTTCACAGCAGTAGAGTGCGGGCATAATCATGTAATCAATAGTATCTCAAGAATGTCCGTGCTGTACAATAGATTAAGCGTCGTTTGCATCAAGCATCAGAGTGAAAGACAACATTCATTGTTTTTTTTTGGTCGGAAGGCAAATGATCTATTTAATTAGCGCCATTGTGGCAGTCAATGCATTGCACATGATTTATTCGAGAAATACTTAGAGTTGTGATTTGCTGTTATCCAAATATGACCACGCGCTGTATTGATGAGAATTTTACGTTCTTACATTTTTCTGATGACCTGCAGTTCCCCCGCGATTGAGCGTTGTGCTGTGAATGTGTGTGCATGCGTCTGCATGTATTTTGTGCCAGGACATTAGGAGTCGTTGAATCCAGCTAAACATAAATTGCCATCGAATTGCATTAAATCACGTGCTGCGTTATGACCCAAGATGCAATTTTTTATTCACATTTAGCTTTCAGCCACTTGTGGTTAAACTGGGTCCTCAAGTGCAGTGAGTTGATGGTCTTAGCCCGGTCACTGATGACTGCACATAAAGCCCCCCCCCCACTCGTCAAATAATACTTGCTTCTGCATTTAATTTGCTTTAATTCCAGCTCTGATAATGGAAAATATCACTTTGGACTGTCGTACAAAAACCTTAATCTCATATGTTGAGCAGGTAGGGAAATTTCTGCCCTCCACTGTGTGTGGAACCAGAGGTCACTTGAAGGGATCTCAAAGGTAGTTAGGTGATAACTGCTTCCATACGCCGTGAAATCTGCTTCTATCACGAAGGGTTGTACTGCTCTGCGAGATATTGAATTGGATATTTTGTTGAGTGGCATGATGCCAATAGCGAAAATCAGTATAAAATGGAACTCGGGTAACAACTCTGTGATCCTACTTCCCCATGACTCCTAATGATCTGCTATTTCCCACGGGTAAGGAGAGCAAGCTCTCGGATAACATCTCAATTAATATGATCCATGGTGTTCGTGCTGCGCTTCACCGTGGATAAGAGGAGCTCCACCGCTCCAGCGATGGGCGCAACAACGAGCCTCACCGCGGTTTCATTCGCGTGAGCCGGCAAGTCGCGAAGGTGCTTAAGCTTGCTACTGCGGCGCACAAGGAAAGAGCAGGTCTACCACTCTGGTGGTTTTGTTTTTTTTTTGGGGGGGGGGAGGGGGGGGAGGGGGGGTTGTACCGAGTGGAGTTTGCTACGACGTCCAACGTTTTGCTCCAACGCCCCAAAAAGAAACTCCCAGCAACCTGGATTCCGTGTCGCAACAGCACGCGGCACAACCCCAAAAAGAACACATCGGAGAGCTGCGCGCCCGCACTCCCCGTGGAAATCTGCGCGGTGGAAATAAGCTTAGCCCGTCTGCGCTGTAACTGGCGACGGCCAGGTACAGCGCGCTCTCCCGCGTCTCCCGGCCGACCCGTGCACGTCCGTTCGTCTGTGCCCCCGCCTGCCCGCCCTGTCCCTGCGCAGCTCAATTTGGTGTCGAGCGCAACTCTGGCCAAGAGCACGCCGGGGTCGCCGCTGCAGGGCAGGCCGCTCGCCCCGCTCACTCCGACGGCCACGTCCGTCATCACGGCGCTCCCCCAGGGCCAGCCGGTGCTGTCCCCGCACACGCTGGCGAGCATGAACGCCGCTCGCCGTCGCCACCTGGACAAGTACAGTCTCCCGCTCGCGTCCGGTGAGACACGCACACTTTGACTCGTTTTGCCTCGGCTCCCTCGCGATTTGGTTCCCCCCCGCCCGCCCCACCAACGATGTTATCACAGTCCCCGGCTAGCAAATTGGTCCCCACTCCTGCTTAGGGCCGGCTGGGATAAGACCGGTGCGCGGCTCTCGCGGTCAGAGCTCGCGGCTCGCAGTGGGATGGCCGCAAGTTGAAATCCGCCCCCCTGCCCATCCCGCCCCCCCCCCTCCCACTCTTGGCCGGGTGGGTTTACTGACACCCCCCCCCCCCACCCACCCACCCATTACTCCGTGACAATTGTCGATGTGGCACAGAGACACGCGCCTCCAGAATGTTGGACAAACTTCCGTGATATTAATTTGAGTGTGTGGTTTTCTGCTCCCTTCAGCAAGGGTGAAATTAACCTTTAAATGAAGAAAAAAGTCGCACGTGAACAGTGAGCTCGGCACTGAGTCAGTAGCCAGTAGTTACTTAAATCAAAGTAGTTACTTAATTCACTCTGATAGCTTTTCAACCCATTTTTTTTCATGCCTGGAACCACCTGGCCATCCAGATGAACACGTGTACCAGCGTTGGCACAAAGCACGCTTGCCAAAACTAAGATATAGACAGCATGAAAAGCGGTGCTGTGTTTGTCAAGTACATTTCCCGTGAATCATCATCTATGGGTAGAATTAAAGAGATTTAGCAGAGGATGTTAACACCGTTAGTAAAAATAAGCATCAGTCATGCGTTTTTTTTTTCTTAACATTTTTGATGATGACATTTATGAATATCCTCCCTTCGACATTTGCATTTTCTTCGCTTTTTTCTTTTGCCAAGTACATTTTGATTGATTGCATATAAATATAGCAAAAACTGTGAGTGCACATTGATAACTTGTGTAACGATTGTGTGTGTGTGTGTACGCCTCTTCAACAGAGCTTAGTCAGAATGAAGAATTTTACCAAAATGCAGAAGTAAGACCTCCCTTTACCTACGCGTCCCTGATTAGGCAGGTGAGTATTTCTTTTAAAATTCACACCGTGCTCATTAAAGCGAATCCATGTACAAGTAAATAAATAAATTAACAATCCCCATATATTTTGAGAGAGAGAGAGAAAAAACATTTGGAGATGGGTTATGGAAATGCGCGTGGGTCATTGTGTAATGGCGGTATTAATGTGTGGCCTCGACCAAGTTGGAATGTAATAATGAGGAGGCAATTATTAATATTTGATGTGCCCTTTGCATTTATTTCAAAGTGAAATCGGTAGGCCAGAAGTGGAAGTGATATAGTGCCTTTGTTCTTTCCCCATGCAATGGGTCCGCCAGGCCATCATCGAGACGCCCGACCACCAGTTAACCCTCAACGAAATCTACAACTGGTTCACTCGCAAGTTTGCCTACTTCAGGCGCAACGCGGCGACATGGAAGGTAGGCACCGAAGCGAGTCGGCTGTTGTTGTCGTGGTTGTCACCGTCCATCGGCCTATTGGGCCGATGGACGGTGCTTAACCACTGCTGCCAATGCAGTATCACAACAAACTAACAAAGTGTTAGATTCAATATGTTCCTGCCTGTTCAGTCATCTATTCGGTAAGCATGATCCTCCACGACGAAGCACAACAGTTTTATGTATTTTTAACTAGTCTGCGTGTTTTATTTATTATTGTCAGCTCGGATTAGCGCACCGGGAATGTGGCTTTCCATAATAATGGTACAAGTTAGAGGCTGGTGACACGTGCCAGAGCTTCTCAGTTTAGCTTGTGCCGCCAGTCATCCCTGCTGCACCGTTGTTGCTTGTCGTGTCGATGTGACGCTTGCTTCCTGAGCCTCAACGGTGACGCGATCCAAATCATAGGGGATTCGTATCACTGGCGAGCGAAGGTCTCTCGTAGCTCCCCGTCAGGCAGCTGAACAGCATGCAGTGTGTTGACAGCTATTGACGATCAACCACTTTGCACAGAGGCCATGGTACGCTTCCCGGGGGCAAATGTGAATATGTACATACCACCGAGTCCGTGGAAAAATAATAAATAAACTTGCTGGGGGGAGTAAATGTGAATGCAGTGTAAAGGCTACGCAAAAATTAATGCAATATTGATAAGCGGAAGAGCGAGCGTGGATCCTAATCAAAAGGGTGCGACTTCAAATTCTGGTTCAGGGTTGACTCATTAGCCCATTATTTTATCAAGAGTTGATCAAAAATGAGTTCCCAGTGTGGAGAAGTCAACCGTAGTTGTCCAATGTATAGCTAATAGCACCGTAGCATTTACACCCCTGGCTCTGGGCTGTGAAGAGGAGAGATGAGTAGCACCTCGATGCTCTTTTGAGCAGGAAAACCACTCAGACTCGACTTGGCTTTGACTAAAAATGCAGATATTTGTTTTGGCCGACACGCGCAAATCCATCCAAGGTTTTTTTTTATTTTGTTTGGCCTCCCTCTCTCTCTCTCTCTCTTTTACATTTGTGGCCCCCTCTAGTCAGGTCGCGTCATGGCACCTCCTAAGCACACTGCGTGGTGGTGCGAGTGATCCGTTCTGGAAATGTGCACCGTTGGTTTTTGACGTTTACAGTGCGAGATCAGCCTGTCCCACGCTGGCCACGGGGCCACCCGGCGGCGCTTGTGGCGGCTGTGAGAGCGTGCCAAGGTGCTTTTTGTCAGCCGTGAGCGGCGTCTTTTTTCATGCCATCGTCGCGCACGGTTGGCCAATTCGGGTTCCCGCGGCCGTCACGCGGACAGGGGTCAAGCGCACATGAGGCCAAGGTTTTTGTAAAGCCCCATTTTTAAAACAGACCGCATTATCACCGCGGGTACTCATTGCCTACTTGTATATATTTAAAAACATATACTGACATATACGTCAAAATATGCGAGCGCCACAGTGGCGAGATGTTATCTCCCTCGCCTTGTATGTGTAGTGGGTTCCAGGACACGGAGACGGCAGAATAGAAGCAGCACTATTTATTTAAACCTTAACAAGGGTTACACTAGAAGGGGTAGCGGCCCCTCCACCCGTATAACTCAGGAACACACCCCAGGCTCTCTAGCCTAAGCTCTAGGCTCCCAGTTCCTCCTGGTAGGGCTCTAAGGGAGGCTATCAGATCCGGCCCTGGTTAGGCACAGATCTCGGCACCCCGCCGACCAGACCGGCCCTTAGAAGGACTCTGACTCTGGGGCTCTGGGGCCGCACCACTGGCTTGCTGTGCCGGCCCTGAAAAGGGCAGCGGTCACAGGAGTTCCAGGGTCTCACCTAGCTGGCCTTCTTTCTTCACTGGTTGCTTCAGCCTCGGGCCCCACACTCTGCCCCCAGCTCCCTGGCTCCCCGCACTTTATACCCACTGGAGCCTTAGCGGACGTTGTTGTAGCCACCAAGGTGTGGGTGAACCACACCTTCCCGTGTCATGTGTTTATTCCCCATAGCACCCCTACATCACCCCCTCCCGTGTAACCCGCAGCCGTCCCGGCTGCAACAATACTCGAACAATAAACACAACAAACCCTCACCCGTGCGTGCCTCATAAGAACGAACACCCCAATAAATAACCCAACCCACCTATACAAAATTACACTATATACACATATACATTGTACCCGCCCCCCCCATCAACGCAGCAAGAAAACTTAACAGTGAACAACAAGAGTAACAAGAACCATTTTTACAACAAGCGGCGCATTTTGGCGCGAGTCCGATTTGCGGGTCCATCGTAGGGGGAGGGTCCGGTCGGCCCGGCAGTGGGCACCGGCTGTGCAGGTGCACCGTCTTCCGTCACCCCGGAAGGGCAAACTCCGTCCCCACCGGGTGGCGCAGGCGCGCTGGAAGCCGTCATTCTTGAGGCGCCTGAAGGTGGAACAGTTAGTGAAGCATCAAGGGCAGGTGACGAAGACGCCGTCCGGGAGTCAGCGGAGACATCACATGTTCGGCCTGTGTAATGTGGTGGAGGGACGCGCGGCGCCACAAACGGCTTCAGACGCGAGGGGTGTACGTACCAGCGGCGTTTCCCCCACTGGATGCGAACGCACTGCGGCCGCATAACCTTCACAATAACCACAGGGCCCCTCCAAGGCCGCAACAATTTCGCCGAGGTCGCCAACGGCACCTGAGGGCAGTGCAGCCAGGCTTGATCGCCTGGCTTCCACGCATGTGTGCGTGATTGGCGCGATCGCAACCTCTCGTTGGCCTTCTGCCGAGAGGAAGAGTTTTGGGCCGCTGCCTCCCGCGCCTCGGTCAACCTCAGGATATTAAATTTAACGTGGTCGGCCAATTTCGATTTTCTGCTGGTTTCCGAGACGCGGAGCTGATTCGCAATTGGTGGGTCAACGTCGCGACCGTACATCAAAAAGAACGGCGAGAAGCCGGTTGCCGCGTGAGGAGCCATTCTATAGGCGGCCAAAACCCCCGGAATGTGAAGGTCCCAATCGGTCTGGGAGTCACACACCTGGTGACACAACATAGATGTGAGCGTCCTATGCAGCCGCTCCACCATGCCATCGGTTTGTGGGTGATAGGGGGAAGTGCGAATCTTTTTCGTACCAAGAAGCGCACACACCTCGTGCAGAAGGACGCCAGAGAAGTTCTTCCCTTGGTCAGTCAGCAGCCGTTCGGGAGCACCCTTGTCGAGGACATAGCCCTGGACAAAGGCCTCGGCAACGGCTGCTGCTGACTGGTTAGCAAGAGGCCATGCCATAGGCCATCGGGTGAAATATTCCACGCCAACCAGCAGGTACTTGTTACCCCTAGGGGTCGCAGGGAAGGGCCCCAATATATCGAGTGCGACGAGTTCGTTAACCCGAGAGACCGTGATAGATTGTAGCGGTGGGCAGGCGCCTTTCGCTGGTGGTTTTCGTTGGGCGCACTGAGTGCATGCACCCAGGAGGTCATCCACATCCCTTGCCATACCCGGCCAGAAGAAATCCAGCTGGAGCACGGCAAGGGTCTTGTGGGTCCCCAGGTGCAAAAGCCGCTCGTGTGCGGCCCAAACGGCCTTACCCCGCAAAGCGGATGGCACCACAAGCCTGTGACGGCAGGCCCTCCCATCCCAATGCATTAGGAGCCCCTGGAGCAGCCCGTATGAATCAATCCCCGCGACCCCCCGCACGGAACCCCCTGCGCGACGACGCAACGCGAGGAGGGATGCGTCCTCCATCTGGAGGCGCCCCCATTCAGCAACGGACAACCCCAGCAAGGAGTCCGCACCTCCCTCCCCGACAGGACCCTCAGGCAAGGGGTCCTCAGTGGCAGCAGCGAGAACCGGGATATCTAAGGGGGGGCTATCCTCTGGCGGCTTACAACGCCCCGATCCCCTGAGACAAGCGCAATCTGAGGCGGGCGGCAGGCGAGACAGCGCATCCGCATTAGTGTGCCGAGCACCCTTCCGATATGTGGTCGTGAAATCATAATCCTGAAGGATTTCGAGCCATCGGGACAATTGCCCCGAAGGCTGTGTCACCCGCAAGGCATATTGTAATGCCGCATGGTCCGTACGGACAGTGAAATGCCGACCGTACAGGTATGGGCGATACTGTTGCATAAAAAATACAATAGCCAAGAGTTCCCGACGCGTGACGCAGTATCTCTGTTCCGCCGGAGACAAAACCCTACTGCCATAAGCCACGACGCGTTCCACACCACAGATCACCTGTGAGAGCACACCCCCAATGCCCGTATTGCTGGCGTCTGTATCGAGCAGGAAGGGTTCCGAAAAATCGGGGTAGCTCAATGGAGGGGCCCGCACGAGAGCGTCGCGAAGGGAACAAAAAGCGACCTCCTCCTCCTGGCCCCAGTGAAATTTCACTCCCTTCGCCGTCAGAGCGTGTAAGGGCTTAGCAATGGTCGCGAAATCCGCGACGAACCGCCGGTAATAAGACGCAAATCCAATGAAACTCCTGACCTCAGCCACCGAGGTGGGGGTTGGCCAGGAGTTGACACACTGCGTCTTTGCGGGATCGGTGGATATGCCCGAGCGGCTGACGATGTGCCCCAAATAGCGTACGGATTCCCGTAGCAGGTGGCACTTTTGCGGCTTAAATTTCAAATTCGCAGCACGCATTTTGAGGAACACGGCGCGCAAGCGCAAAAGGTGTTCGTCAAATGTCTTGCTGAACACGATGACGTCATCCAGATAGATCAAACAGACGTTCCACTGTAAGCCAGCCAAAACCAGTTCCATAAGGCGCTGAAATGTCGCCGGAGCAGAGTGTAATCCCATAGGTAACCGGTTAAATTGGAATAGGCCGTGTGGTGTGCGAAACGCAGTCTTTGGCTTGGACTCATCATCCAATGGGAGTTGCCAAAATCCGGATAACAAGTCCAACGTAGAAAAAAAACGTGCGCCAGCCAGAGCATCCAGAGATTCGTCCATCCGGGGAAGTGGATACGCGTCGGCCACGGAGATCTTATTAAGGCGGCGAAAATCCACACAGAATCGCAAGGA